AGTACTATAAAGAGTGTGATAATGCCTATAAATAAAAGATCTCAGGAGATACAATTATCCTTGTTTATCAATACATTGGATCCAAATACTTACCCTAGAAATATCAAGAAGAAAAGTGGCAGATACTAAGTTATATCACTCAGATGTATAGTATTTCTAAAACACTTAATATTTTCAAGAGGCATTTCATTATGTCTGTTTCTCTAAACTCAAATCTGTGGAGTTAATTTTGTCATATATTTTTTTAATTTGGAAAAAAATCCCCAAATACCCATTCATCTTCATCATCTTAGAATTAGAATTACAATTAGTGGGGTTATCTCATTCTACTTCTTAAAAAGTTATAATTAATTCCATGTTAAAAGATTAGTATCTTTTAAAAGTAACTAGAAAGCCAATGTGTTAAGATGATACAAATACACAGGGGTATTCTGATGCCTTAACAAAGATTTCAGAGGTAAGGCCATGCCATAACCCCCATCACTGGGACTGGTGATATTACTATACCCATATAGATCTTTGCTCAGAATCAGAAGTACTCTCCACAGCATGATTCAAGAAACTAGTATTTGTTGAGGGCCTAAAATATAGCATACATTATGGTAGGAATATTGAGTGTTACTAAAGTGAACCAATATTCCTTCAACTCACTTTTATTGATTGTCTACTTCATGGCAAGTAGTGTGCTAGGCCATGATGATTCAGAGGGAACTAAAAATTGTTCCTGCAATTGCAGCTTACAATTTAGTGGGGGCAGAGAAGACTTGCAGGAGGTGGTGACATATGGAGAGCCGGGGCAAGGGCAATGGATACTGGAATTCTAGATGGAGGTCCCAGCTTGAGCAGAGGCAAAGAGATAAGAAAGAGCATGCTATGAACAGGAAAATATAAGCCATAAGGGGAAATGTCAGCAGATTAGGCTGACAGACAGGCAGGGTCCAGTTCTATATACCATGTTATGGAGCTTAGATTCTATCCTGTGGGTTAAGGGAAAATCACAGAATAGTCTTAGGCAGTAAAGTGGCATCTCAATCTAGCAGCAAGCTGGGGAATGGATGTGAAGGTGACAAGGATGAAGGCAAGATGATTGGTTAGGGTGGTGAAACAGGCCTGAATCAGGGAAGTGCTGGTAGGGAGGAAAAGAAGAAATTTTTAGGTCATATATTATTAATACTTGCTGCTAAGTGTAAGTGAGAAAGAGGAACCAAAGATCAACAATGAGATAGGTGGAGATATATTTAACTGAGATGGAAAACACAGAAATAGGAGGGATTTTTCTGAGGGGTTGGGATGGAGGTGTAAGGGGGTGAGGGGTAGATAAATTCTGTTTTGAATATGCTGAACTTAGGATGACGGTGGGCTGTCAGGTGAGGAAGCCCAGGTGAAAGTCTAAGCAAAATGTGGTACAGAGATAAATATTTGGGAGATGTCAGATAATTGAAACCATGAGAATCTAGATGAGATCATCTAGGCAGAATAGGGAATGAGAAGAGTAGCAGGTTGAGAACAAAACCTCAGAGACCACTGGTATTCAAGGGCCAAGAGAGTAAGAGAAGCCCACGAATGAGAGAGTTGAAGAATCGCCAGAAAAATACAAGGAGACCCAGGAGAGTGAAGTGGCCAAGGAATTCCTAGGTTTGTTTGACTGGCAAAATGATTTTTACAAAATCAGAATTTGAATGCCTTTAGGCAAAACATATACCACCTTCCAGTTCAACAAAGACCCCATCATTACTCATGGTGCACCATTTTCTGTGACCTCTATTACCTCTGAAGGCTTGTGTGTTTGTGACCCCTAGAATAGAAGCCTCCAAAAAAGAGGGAGTCATTATAAGTGTCATATACAGCAGAGAGGACCAGAAAGACAGGGAATGAAAAATGCCCACTAATGTAGCAACAAGAGGGTCATGGTGATCTTAACAAGGCTAGTTCTTCCCCGCCCCTTAGGCTGTGGTCATGATGGCAGAATCCAGGTTACAGAGGGGTGAAAAGGAAATAGATATGGTGAATGTAGCTATTCTTAAGAAATCTGGAGAGGGAAGGAAGAAAGACAAGACAGTAGCTAAAGGGGAACATAGGCCTAGGAAAGCTTTGTTTTATTTTGTTTTTAAAGAAAGAGAAAAACTGTGAATATGTTTATAGGCTGATGCAGAGAGAGGTAATATTAGAGGGATGGGGCTGCCTGATGGAGCAAGATTTGGGAGGAGGCTGGAAGAGAAGGGTACAGAAGGCACAAGTGAAGTGGTACGCTTTGGACAAGTGAAGGAACTCCTTGACCTCTGAGGCTGGAAGAAGAGAGCATAAGAATTCAGATCTAATTAAGATCTAGTGCAGGTTTTTCAGCAGGAAAGCAACATGATTAAACTGTGTTTTAAGAAAATTAGTTTGGCACAAGCATGCGGAATGTATTGGGGTGGAGAGAGGTGGCAGACTGTTGCAATAATCCAAGCAGGAGTTGATGGCAACCTAAACTAGAGTGGTGCCAGTAGAAATGGAGGAAATGAAAAATCCAATAGACATTTCAAATATATGAGGACATAATTCTAGGACAGAGTGGCACTAGACAAGTCAAGGAAAAGGAAGAGTTGATATGACTCAAGGATTTGACATACTACCCCAGAAGATTAGAGTGGTGGGATCATGATCAGAAATGAGGCAACTGGAATGCACAGCCAATGTGGGGAGGGAAAATGATGGCTTAAGAAATACTGAGTTTGAAGCAATGGTTCTCAAATTTTAAACTTTGAAAAGAAACAAAGTCCTCTATAGAATAGACAACTGCACAGAGAATGGAAAAATAAGAGGTAGGAGAGAGTAAGAAATATTTCATTCAGATAGGACAACTCTAACACTCACATGCCAGAAAAAAATTTAACAGGAGCTGATTATTTTAATGTTTCAGAATTAGATTAACTGTTTCATAAGAATCATACTTTACCTGATAGAGGGGAAAGTTTCACTACCATAGAAAGGCCAGTTTCTCAGATTCAGTAAAACTTTCTCCTAAACATTTAATTTATTTTTCAGATCTCAGACATTTAAGATCAAATGTGCTTTTCAGTTGAGAGAATGTGTACAATACAACTAAATAATTTTTCCAAACGATATACGTTGGTTAGCGGTTCAAGTACTGGTTTGCTGCTTTTCAGGTTTTGGCTTCAATTAATACCGACAGTTACTTCCAGCACCACTACTTTGTACTCCTAATTCCAGAATTTTTAAGCTGGGAGGGACATTATACCTATCACAAAGCCCTGGATATGGCAAGTGTCAGTGCTTTGCTTTTAATTGAAAATAGGTTGATAAGTACTTCACCATGATTGTGTGAAGAGTAGAATGGAACCATAAGTAAGTTTCTGGTAACTTAAATTCTGTTTCCTTGCTCCTCCTCTGTTTTCTGAATGTTAGAAAATAAGGAGGGGGAGGAATGTTGGGAATATAAAGTTATAGACTGGAATAAAAAACCTTTTTCTGTTCAGTCACGTGAAATAATCTGCATGAAAGTAACCTTTGGTGCCAGAATCATAATTAGTTTGAGTAATAAATTGTCACCCTAGTGATGAAAGGAATAAAAGTAAAACAGCGCAGTAAGCTGGCATCTGATCATTGTAGGCTAGCTGCAAAATTCTTGGGCCAAGAAAAATTGTATTAAAATAATTCCCTAACCAAAAAGTAGGTCTAAAAATCTTCCCAAACTCTTCCACAATTTCAAAATCTTCCTTAATATATTTTATGCAAAGATCACAAAAGTATATTACAATCAAAATATTTAACATGTTAAAATTAAAAGCTAACATGATGGGGGGAGGTGTTGCGTATTATAATACATGATTTCTGATAATTTGAACTCAATTGAAAGTCAAAGGGACTAGGTGAGCTATTATCAAAATTAGAGGCAGTGATATGAAAATGCAGGAAAAGACAGCATAGTTAAGAGGATGAACACGACACACACTCAAACTTCCAAGCATTTACAGCCCAAGCACATAAAAAAGAAAAGGCACTCTTCAAAGCCCAGAGAGCCATTAAAATTTTCTTTTGCTTTGCAACTACTATGCTATGAGGTCTCTCCTCCTTTTATTTTCTCAAATATGATCCGATATTTCAATTTTTTAAAAAAGTCACTCTGCATAGGTTTTCAAAAAAAATCAACCTCAGCTCCTGGGGGAATAATTTCCATAAGTATTTCATGTCTGCATATTTAATGTTTGGGCATACAAAATCTCCTATAGGTATCTTAACTTATCTCAGAGCTGAAAGGCTTTGGAAACCATCTACCCCACACCCCTCATTTTTACAGATGGAGAAATTAAGGCCCAGAAATAGGAAGTAACCTGAGCAAGGTCACAGGGCCAGTAAGAAGCAAAGCTGGGACCAACGTCCAAGAGCCCTCGCTCTCAATCTATTGCTCCCTTACTTTTCACAACTGCCTCCTAATCTGAACTTCTAATTGTGTGATATTTAATGAATGTCAGAATGAGTTATCAAGACATGGAAAGGATTATTATATTCATTCATATAAGCATTAGATAAGAAGAATGGAGGAATGAATATGTGGGTGGGTATTCTATAATATTATTCACAAAACATATCATGTTTCTGTTTTGGAGAATCCAAGCCTAGGTCTTGTCACATGTCACAGCAGTCACCGTGTTCCACTACACACCAGTCTTCGCAGCAAAGAATCCTCTGGTACATCCTGCAGTTTAAAGCATACACAGAAGCAAGGAGACTCACCTCTACTCCAATCCCTCTGGCTCTCAAACCTCTAACCTCCCTGTCCTATACGCACTCTTTACTTGATGTTGGTGCATCACATTTGCATTCTCCTCACTTCCTTTACACCTATCTCCCTCGGTTTCTCCATTTAGACCAGGTGTCCTTTTCTAACTGCATGCCTCAGTCAGCCCTCCCCCACCCCATAGGCCCCTCGACCACTTTCTCATTCCTCTGTCGACAAATCTCAGCGTTTTCAAACCCCATGGCCCCCTCTTGCTTACACAGTGATGTGGCCGGCGCCCCGCACCAATACAGGATCGGGGGCATATCTCCGCAGATGCTCCTCACTCACTACCCGAGGCGGGGGCGGCGTCTCTTCCTCCTCCTCTTCTTCTTCTTCCTCATCCTCCTCTTCTTCCTCGTCCTCCTCATCTTCCTCGTCGTCGTCGGGCCCCGATACCGACGACGACGACGACGGCGACGACGACGACGTTGCCGCTTCTTCTTCCTCCTCCTCCTCCAGTTCCGAGATGGTGTCGAACTCCGCCATGTTGGGCAGCAGGATGCTCATCACGTGACCTCTCGATCGCCGCCACCCTCACGGAGAAGAGTTTGAACCTGCCGAGGTGCTGGAAGAGGAGGGGGAACGAAATGAAGAGAAAGAGGACCCGGGTAGGGACAGGATTTGAAGAGATGCGCCTGCGTGTTGGGGCAGACGGGGGAGGGGGGTTGGAGGCGGGGGCACGAGGGAGAGAGGAGCAAAATCAGTCTACGCTTGCGCGGCTCTAAGGGCAGGGGGGCGTTAGAGGTGAACTCCCAGGGAATTATCGAGACCCGGTCTGCGGGTTCTGTGTTTAATACTGCTCTTTGGGCTTGAGCTGCTTGGGGCCGGGGGACATACCTTCTGGCTTTATTTCCTATTAATTAGTCGTGGGTATTATTAACCACACACCCCCACGCAGTGCGGGGAATGCATATTCTATAACGTGAAGTTAGAACTTTGCCCCAGATATCACAAGGTATATACGAATCCCTTGCGTTTGTTTGTTCAGCATTACAGTTTAAAAGACTTTTGCATCAGAATTTTGCCACCCTGGGAGGCATTTTTATTAACATTTTACTGAAGAGGAAACTTTCTATTACTACTTCTCCTACTGTAATACTTAATAAAAGACTTCGTGTCTGGGACTGTGCTAAGCACTCTTTGTGTATATCCCATTTAATACTTCACAACTGCATGGGATGTGTACCAGAATGATCTCGCTTTACAGATGGGAGACTTAGATGCACGGAAGATAAGCAACGTGCCCAAGGTCATGGAGTTACTAAATGGCAGACCTGGTTTTAAACTTGGGAATCTCTTCTGATTTCAAAAGCCCGGTACTCTTAACCAAAGGGCTACACTGCCTGAAGTTGTTTGCAAAGGTTTTGTAGAGTGGTGCCTTTGGGCTGTTTCTTGAAGGATGTTTGAAGTTTGGAGGTTTTTTTGGTTTTTTTGTTTGTTTGTTTGTTTGGTTGGTTTTTTTTTACAGGGGAGAAGGGCATGGAGGGGGTGGAGGGAGTATTCCAACCTAAGGAATGATTAATTAATACCATCCATCTTCCAGACACTGATCTAGTCTCTTTCATGTACACTATCTCAGTTAACCCTTAAACAATCCTGTGAGGTAAGCATCATCATATCTATTTTATAGCTGGCAAAACTGAATCTCAGGAAGTTTAAGTAATTTATTAAGGTCTGTGGAAGGTTTTGTCCAAAATTTTCCATTTCAAATATTTTTTCCTATCTTCTTCACACCAACTAAAATGTTGTAGAGATCACATATTTTGAGTTTCCAATCCATGTGTCAAACTAATACTTAGCAGCAGCACAGAAATCCTTGTCATAATTCAGGGATCATTAAGACAGTAAAGTCATGTAGCTGCTAATTAATAAAACAAATCCTGTAATCCAGGTATTTTAATATCAGCTTCACTGCTCTTTATGCTACACTACAGCTCCATCCCAATTCGTTGGTGAGACTGAGGAAACAGATATAACTGCGCTTTATTTTTCTAAAGATTTATTCATTTATTAGAGAGAGAGAGAGCGAGAGCAGGGGGAGGGGCAGAGGGAAAGAATCTTCAAGCAGACTCCAAGTTAAGTATGGAGCCGGCATGGGGCTCGATCCCATGACCCATGAGATCATGACCTGAGCCGAAACCAAGAGTCAGTCCCTTAACCGACTGAGCCACCCAGGCACCCCATAACTGTACTTTAATTTAATATGAGTATTATGCTAGCAGTACAGCAATATAAACAAAGCATTTAGGATGCATGAGGGAAGAAGAAATTAGTTTTGTAAGTGGCACTGTTCAAACCATTATTATTATCAATAAGTTTGTGTTATTAAGGTGAAAAAATGTTTTGTACTCAATACCTTAATTATTTAGAAACTTTAAAAATAGTGCTATGGTGAGCGCTGTGAATTGTGTTAAGACTGATGAATCACAGATCTGTACCCATGAAACAAATAATACATTATATGTTAATAAAAAATATGTTGCAACACTATCAATAAGCAACAAAATTTAATTTTTATAGTATAGAGAAATTTACTAGTCTAAAAATATTTTACAAGAGCCTTCTGATAAGACAGATACAATATATCTGCTTTTCTTGGATATTAATAAAAACATGTCATATGTCATTTATGGGAATGAAATACTTTAGACTTAAGATCAAATCAATATTTCACACCAGTTCTTCCCTTTCAAAAAGCAAAAAAGTCATAGGCAATACTAAAAATCTTCCAAACATGTTATGTTATCCATAAAAGTCCACTCAGTCCCTGACTAGAGGGGAGTATTTTGCTGATTACTACTTAAATGGTAGTTTCTCCTTTTCACCAGTCAGGATTAGGCTAAGAAGGGATATTTGAAGGAGATAAAGGGAAAGGAGTATAAAGGGCGAACTTTGTGATAAGTGCAAGTGAGATACTGGAACTATGGTAAAAGTGGAGAAATGATGGCTGTGGAGGATGGGTGAGGAGGAGAGGGAGGGGCAAATTATACTGCCAAAATGGAGAGTGGTCTCTGACATTTAGTCAGATGTCAAAAAAAGAACAAAGCAATGCTATTGCTTGGAGAAACTCACAAGTATGGTCTGCTTTCTTGCATATACACTGTGCTGAAAATGCATATATAATTCCAAAAGTAATTTTTTTTGCTGATCCATAGGAGAATTTGGAATTGGGCAAACCAAGAAAAACACCTTTTGTCAGTAAACACAAGGAGTGACATGATTTTTATTTTTTTAAGATTTTATTTATTTATTTGACAGAGAGAGACAGAGCGAGAGAGGGAACACAAGCATGGGGAATGGGAGAGGAAGAGGGAGAAGCAGGCCTCCTGCTGAGCAGGGAGCCCGATGCGGGACTTGATCCCAGGACTCTGGGATCATGACCTGAGCCGAAGAAGGCAGACGCTTAACGACTGAGCCGTGATTTTTAAATGATAGTTTAGCAACCATCAAGAATACTAAGGCTAGGAGTGGGTGCAGAAGAAAGCAGGCCATATAACTTTCTGTCTAATGAGCTAAGCAGGGCATGGGGGTAATTACCCTGTCTGATGGATGGGGACCTGAGGCAAGGGGTTGCAGGTTTAACCATCTGTTCAATCTTAGAACAGCTGAAAAGAAATGTAACTTTTAAAAGAATCCTCCCTCCCTCCCTCCCTCCCTCCCTTCCTTCTTTCCTTCCTTCCTTTTCTCTCTCTCTAAGTGTACAATTCAGTGATTTTAGTAAATTTACAGAATTGTGCACCTATCACTACAAACTAATTTTAGAACATTTCTGTCACACCCAAAAGAAATCACTATCTCATTTTCAGTCATTCCCCATTCTGACCCTTAGCCCCAGGCAATAATTAATCTACTTTTTATCCATGTTGTATCTTGTATAAGTACTTCATTCCTTTTAATTGAAAAATAGTATGCCATTGTAAAGATATATCACATTTTGTTTATCCATTCACCAATTGATGATATTTGGGTTGCTTCCACATTTTGGATATTATGAAAATAATGCTATGAAAATTCACATACATGTCCTTGTGTGAACATAGGTTTTAATTTCTCAAGGGTGGATACCTATGAGTGGAATTACTGGGTCATATGGTAAGAATGTTGATTTTAAGATAACTGCCAAACTATTTTTCAAGGTGGATCAATCAATTTGCATTCCCACTAGCAAGGTATGAGAGTTCCATTTTCTCCACATTCTCTCCAACATCTGTTATTTTCTTTTTGATTAGAGCTATTCTTGTGGGAATGAAGTGTATCACATTGTAGGTTTATTTTATATTTCTCTAATGACTAATGATGTTGAACATCTTTTCATGTGCTTGTTTTTCATTTATATACCTTCTTTGATGAAATGTCTATTCAAATCTTTTGCCCCATTTATTAAACTTTTTTTCAAGATAATTAGAGATTCACATATAATTGTAGGAGCTAATACAGACAGGTCCTGTTTACACTTTACTCAATATTTCCCAATGATAACATCTTGCGTAACTATAGTTCACTATCACAACCACAAAATTGACATGATACAATCTACCCATCTTACTCAGAGTTCCACAGTCATACATGGATTCATTTGTATGTATGTGTGTGTGAATTTAGTTCTATGCAATTTTACCACAGGCATAGGTTCATATGACTACCACCATAGACAAGATCAAGAACAGTTACTTCACCACAAGGATTCATCCTATTATCTTTTTTTTTTATAAAGATTTTATTTATTTATTTGAGAGGGAGAGAGAGAGAGCAAGCAAGCGAGAGCACAAGAGCAGGGGGAGGGAGAAGCAGACTCCCCGCTGAGCAGAGACCCAGGACTCTGGGTCTGTGTCTGTCTGTGCCTGTGTCTGTAAAATTCTTAGGGTTTTCTACATATAAATTTATGTAATCTGTGAATGAACAGTTTTATCTGTTTCTTTCTAATCTGGATCTTCTCCCTCCCTCCCTTTTATCTTCTTCTTCTACTTCTCCTTCTCTTCTTTTTGCTTCTCTTTCTCCCTCCCCCCATCTCTGTCTGTTCCTTTTTAAAGGATTTCCAAAATTTAAATTAATTTTCAATTAAAAAATTTCAATTTCAATTTGAATTAAATTTTCTTCTGTTGTAGATTTCTAATTTAATTCCAGTGTGGTTTGAGGACATAAATTGTATGATATAAATCCTTTTAAATTTCCAGAGACTTGTTTTGTTGCTTTACCATATCATTTATTTTGAGAAAGTTTTATGTACATTTGAGAAGAATTTATATTCTGTTGTTATTGGTTGGATTCTAAAAATATCAGTTATGTCTACCTTATAGTTCTGTTTATGTCTTCTATATCCTTTTTGATATTCTGTCTCATTTTGCTGTCCATTACTTAGAATGGATCACTGAAATCTCCAACTATTATTGTTGAATTTTCCATTTTTTATTCATTTTTGTTAATTTTTGCTTCATGTAGTATGGGGCTCCTTTGTTAGGTACAGATATGTTTGCAGTAATTATATTTTCCTGATGGATTAATCCTTAGTCATTATGAAATATCCCTCTTTAGCTCAAGTAATAATGTTGGTTTATATTCTTATATTAATATGGACACTCCAGCTCTCTTATTGTTATTGTTGGCATCATGCTTTTTCTGTTCCTTTACTTTATTTTATTAAAAAATATTTTA